AGTGTGAGAACTTTGGGTACAAAACTATGAAGCTCAATCAATTGGATGCACAAATGAGTAACGTTTTTATGGTGACACTAGTATAGTTTTTCAAATGCAATGATTTATGATAATGATTCAAATTTGACATCCATTACAATAACATGCTACATTACTACTGTACAACAATATCGTGCCTACTTTTCCATCTTTTTAAATTTAAAAATATATTAGTGCAATCTATATAAAATTAAAAGTTAAATTATGTATTTTATCTAAGTTAAGTTTATGTTATATAATATAATATTTAATTTTTAGAGATTATATTRTATACAAATTAATAATAAATTATGATTATAAATGTAGTTGGTTAATTTCTTTTGTTTTATGTAGAATCAATTAAGTGATGCATTAACAGTTTGGAGTCGTCATATTTCAGAAATTAAGTATTACATTAATGATGAATTTATCAATAAATATTTTTCAAGCACGCCGTTTTCTGTAGATATTTACGATTTAAAATTATGGGTTATGAGTTTTGCTTCTACTACTCTTTCTATGTATTATGATGAAACAGTTTCTTCTATGGTTTCTTATATAGAAAGTAAAGTTAGGTATGTATAATAGACAACTATTTTAGCTTACATTTTGAATTTAATTTTTACATTCAATTTTAATATTTTTTTTTAGATGGAATGAATTATATTTACATTTAGATTGGATCAATCCTAGCTTAGAAATTTGTCGTTTTTTTCTAAACATCATTAATCAAATTGTTTCATCTCCTTTATGTCTAAGTATTTCACGACCAACTGAACCTCAAATTAAACTAATCTTATTGATAAAATACTTGGCTGAATTAAAGGAATTGAATGATAATTTTGGTGTTAAGATTACTTTGGATGATTATGAATTATCTCATGAAGACAAAAATTATTCAGAGTTGTCATTCATAATTTTAGATCAAATACAAATGAATACATTTTCTGATTTTATAGCCACATTTTGGTCAACATTTACACTTCAGCGGTTCTTAAATTCTGATGAAATTTTATCTGCTTATATTAAAGTAAAAATAAATAATTTTTTTGATTTACCTACTTTATTAAACTCAAATTTATTTAACTACAATCGACAAATATTTTTATTTTATATTTTAGAACATTGTTAGTCAAGTTGATTGTTGGTGGTCTTGGGAAGAAAAAGCAACTTTGATACTTAATTTCATATCCAACAAAGAGGTGGTATTTAAAAAATGAACGYAAACTATAAATTATTTGAATTTATTTTTACAGATCAAATCTGATTCAGCTTTAAGCATTTTGAAAGCAGCTAGTATACCTTGGTCTGAACTTATGGTTAAACTTTGTGATGAAACACTTAATACTGATTTGAATACTGCAGCTATTAAAGATATAGTAGAAGTGAAGAATTTACTTACTAGTAAATTAATATTAAAGAGTTATAATTTTTCTTTTACAAATATCACACCTAGTATAGTATGTATTTGAACTCGTGATCAATTCTATTTCAAATTTAATTATATTCATTATTAATTTCAGATTATTATCGCTGTTCAAAATATTTGTTCCCAAAATCGCTCAACTGTATTAGAAGACATAGTTAAATTGATTAGTACACAGTCTGTTACTGTTCAACAAGAAGCGTATGAGATTTATATACAACATTTGATTGAATCTGGGTATGAAAATTAATTTTAGTTCTCATTATTTTTAATTTATTCTTACAGTGTTAATAACCTAGGTTATAAGCCTAAAAACACACATATATAACTAGTATAATATAGCAATATTATATTTGTATATTATAGCAACATATTTAAATTTGATTGGTTTTAAAAATCTAACTCAAAAACTATAGATAATTGAATTATTGTTGACATGCATTTGTGCTATGGCTTAGAGTCATTTYAAAAATGTTTGTGTGACACTAAGATTAATAGCTTGATATCATTGTGTCGAAGCTGGAAGCATAAAATATTGTATTATTATAGTGTGTGTGTTTGTGTTGTTTTATATAATTTATAACAATAAGTATAACACATTGAATGTTTTGTGTTGAATACATTAATGTTTTGACAATTTTTGATGATACAGATAACACAATATTATAAATTATATAAATAATACCAATATTAGTTGATAGTTGTTTGACGATGTTGGCAGGGGTAAATTATTGGTGTTTATAATTTTAGCTCTTAACTTCTCATAATTATATTAATAAGTATTAATTTTTTACTTCCTATGTAGACTGAATTCAGTAATTACAAAACGTTTACATGTACCAATGTATCTACATTAAGTGTGGATACTTTTTAGTTTAAGATTATTTTTTAGCTATTGCATAGTTTTACATGACTATTTATGAGAAAGAGTTTTATTATAAAGCTTGGCATGGTTCTGATTCTTCCCTTTTCTCTCATGGCCATGGAAATATTAATAATTTTTTTAAAAGTTATTACAACAATGCAATTTTTATTTTTAAAGCCTTACAGACAAAGCAATAGAATCAATAACAAATTCTCAGATAATTCCTAATTCAATGATACAGAAGATATGCACAACAATTTGGATTACATATAACAGTTTGAGAAAACATTCAATTTTTGTTGAAGAAGCATCCAAGTATTTTATTGTACTAAAATTTTTGGCTAAAAGTCAATGCTTAGATATTCGTCAAGAGTGTCAACATAGTGCTAATGGCTTAATAAACATTTATTATTTAAAGGTTTGTCTACTTGACTATTCAAAATACTGTAATTTATAATGTATTAATTATTGTGATTTTATRACAGAATGAGTTTAAAATTGAATGTGATTTATCTGAATATACTAATGAAGAAAAACTATTAAAAAAATGTGTAAATTCAGTCATAAAAGGTAGTTGAACATTTAAAATCAACAAATTAGTGCATAAATTAGTTTTAATAATTTATTGTTTTCTAATGTCTTTATTAGATGAATGTTTCAATGATATGAAGACTTCTTCTATACAAGCTAGATTATCAAGGTTATCTAATTTATTATTCCAGTCTTTTGAAAATGTAGTAGTACAGTTTGTTAAAGAGTCAGCTTTACAAAAAAATAACGAAAATATATGTATATTTGGTCAATTTATAAATAACTTTGGAAATGTTGGCCCTCAGCTTGCAACTAAATTATTAGAATTAGGAGAACTTTTAGTATCTACTTATGATCCAGTGACTCAAGCTGCATTTAAAATACCACTTTGGACATTGATTCGACGAATTACACAATTAGTTACCGTTAATAGTCAATCAAGTAATATTGTTTTTTTTTTATTTATAACACCAGTTAGATTAAGAAATTAATTGTTTTCTATTTTAGGTTTGTTAACCAGAGCTGTTGAATTAAGTCAATGGGTTGAACCCTTTTATTTAACTTGTGGAGATGTGGTGAATACTGATAATATAGAACTTGGATTAGCATATTCTTGGAGGAACGGAATTATTGACAAAAATTCTATACACATAGAATTTTTTGAACAATTTAAACTTTATAGTTCATTTTTAAGTAATATTCAATAWTGACACTTCATTAATACCAAAACTAGAAATAATAATAATTATTATTTTTCTAGATTTTTATAATCCAACATCTTCATTATACTGCTACAAGAAAATAGATGTTAAAGATTCATATGATAGCATTGTAAGTGATTATAAATACTTTAGATTGCTTACTCGTCTTGTGGCGTATAATATTACTTCTGGTAGATGGCGAGATTACATAATTATTAGTGATTTCAATGGTATCCATTCTTGCTTACTACAGGTCCTCAGTACATGACGTGCAGTGATAGTGGGCGTGTGATTAGTAAAATCAGATACCTTTGAAATGGCTAGTAGTTATTTCATCTCACCATCTACTGCGAGTAATATTGTATGGTATAATAATTATGTTTTTAAGAAAATGTCAAATAAAATATTTAGTTTATCATAACATTTTAGCTATCACCAGATATAATAATGTCTTCGTTAGAATATTTCCAAGGTCAGAATCTTATTGGTCTTCACATAACTGTAACACAAATAATGTGTTTATATCGTGCTATTCTTAAAAATCAGCAAACATTAGTAAGTGCTTAGTTAATAAYAAAGTAAAAAAACATTGCTTATTTTAGATAATTATTTATTATACAACTGCATATTCTTAATGCATTTCAGGAACCAGAATTAACTATTAAAGGAAGTAATTTAATAAAAAGTAATGTCAGGCAAATATTAAAAAGTGTTACTTATGCTCGAAACTTGGATATGGATCTAGGGTTAGGTCTTTTAAATACACTCAAACCACATGATGCTTTTAATTGGATTGAAGATGCTTTGAATAAGTATGAGTTCAATGTTATAAGTTTTGGGGGTTTAATGGGTATAATTTTAAAATTATATATTATTGTTTCCTCTATAGTGTGGGGATGAACTATCAAAAATTAACAAATATTACAGATTTAGGATTAGTTTACTTACAATTAAATATTGATACTGCTGGTGATTTATATGAAACTCTTAAATCGACAAAAAATAAATGTATTTGGGGTAAAAAATTGATGAAGTATGGATTTGCATTTAAAGGTATATAATTAATTTTAATAAATTTGATGTATTAGATAATGAATATGTGTATTTATTTATTTTTTTTTTTTAAATTGTAGATGCATTTTACAGTTCAGAATTAGATCAACGGCATTTACTACAGAAAATGATAAGATCTCCTATCATAACATTAAATGTTTTAGYAGACTATTGCGCAGATACACATTTTGATTTACAACAAACTGCCAAATTATTTTTAGAAAGTTGTTTAATTCAATGGGAACCATACACGCCTGGGGAAAACGAAGAGAAGACATTTGGTAAATAGTTTATACCAAACTTTATAAAATATTCAATTAGTAAAATAAATTGCTAATTWTTTTGCATGATGATCTTTAGATTGGATAGCTAAAATAATTGAAGACAAAGATGCCTTATTAAAAAAATGTGAAGACATTTTCTGTGTTATTACAGAAAAAACTGATATTTTAGATTTTCTTTGGAATCATGTTTGGGAACAAGTAAGGCAACAATATATTGTACTTTAACTCAACTTATGTTAAAAACTAAATGTTTTCAATGCATATTTATTGTTATATGATGTTTAGGTGAATATTTATTAYTATGAAGTATTTTTAGTAATAATGGGTTTAATTGAAAAATATGATGTAAATGCAATTTTAAAATTTCCTGTTCAAAAAGAAATTTTATTATTTTTGATGCAATACAAACGAGTAAGTTTACCTGAAGAACACGAACAAGAAATATGGTTTGCAATGTTCCAAGAATCACAATCATTACCTCCTATTTCTAAATATCGTTTACCTTATGTTCCACTTGCAAATAAAAAAAAAAAAATTGGCCATCGTGAAATTCTGGCTTGGAAAATCATAAAACCAGAATTAACATTTTTAACATACAATAAATGGTTTTCAATAATTGAAGCAATTGGAATGGACAAAGACACATTATGTATTTTTACTGTAAAGAATATGGTATGAATTGTTTATTATGCCATGATGTATAGATTTACTAAGTGTGTAAAAATATTTTAGGTTAATGAGGTAGCTACTAAGGATAAAAATGTTGAATGGTATTTACATATGCGCTTGGAATCATTGCTCAGAGATATTCAAGAAGTGTTGAGCAATGTAAAGAATTTAGAAATAGTTGCTGCCTCACTATACTTTGTAGTCAATAGTTTACCCTTAGGTATTAACTATATTCATTAATGTCTATAATTAAAGACTAATTTAACTATATAACTAGTTATAAAAATTATTATTTATTTTTAGGTGCGGATCAGTTGGCAGCTGCTAAAATTAGTCATTTACAAGCTCAAGAATGGGTAAAATTAGAAAATTCAGAAAATGCCAAGTCTGGTATTACAAAAGTATGTATTTGTATTAACATATTTAAATCAAACAAAAACTGAAATTGTTTTTTTTAGGTTGTTACAAAATATGTATTAATAACAACTAAACATATTCTTCACATGTATGGTTTTGGAAAAACAAAGTATTTACAATTAGCATTGCAACCTAATGAATTAATTCGAGAATTGTATAATGATCCAATAATACTTAAAAGACATACAGGTGAAATAAAGTTGTTTCCTGGTAAGTTTAAAGGTCATATTAAGGTGTTTGTTTCAAATTATTAACTTGAGCTATATTTTTCAGACATTAATGGTGCAGTAGATGCAATTGTAGAAGTTCATGGTAAAGGAGACTTGGCTCTTAAAGTAGATCTTCTAAAAGAGTGGCTACAACCCTCATCATTGGGATCAATGGATTCCCCTGATAAAAGTTTAATGTCAACAACTAATTCATTTTATGTATCTCAAGAAAATTCAACAATCAGTGAAGGTGTTTTAAGGTGATAATAATTATTTAAATTAGTTAAACTTTTTTTAAATGCGGCTGACCTTTGAGCGTTATTAATTATGTTTAGAGCATGCTATTTATTAGAAAATGATACACCAGCGTACAATTTACATAATTTCCTTATATGCCAAGCTTATAATGAAGATGACAATGATTCTATGTGCCCAACAAGTGTGCGACTAAGAGCATTGCAATGTTTGTGTTTGGTAACAACTGAAAATATCGAAGAAATTACTTGTCGTTCAAAAGAAATGATGAAGTAAGAATATTAATTTCTATAATTACAATATTTCAATTTAATAATTAAATAACTTTACTTATTTGAATATTAGAAATAATTTGGTTGAATTATCAATTATTACTGAATTGGAAACTCTTGGAATCAATTTTTCCCCAGTAAGATACCGTGGATGTGATAAATCCAAACTAGTCCAATCGTTGTTGGCAAGAAGATCACTAAGTTCCACTAAATTAGCTTCACATTTATGTGTTTTATATTCAGATGCCATGAACCCTAGTATTTGGGATTTATTACTTACTAGATTAATTCATTTTACAATGATTATTGAATTGGAAAAAGTACTTAACCATTTGATGGATAAATGGCATAAGTTGACATTTGAAATCGTAGAAAAAGCCTGGAACGTTTTTCTAAGATCTTCATTTAATAGTGGTATGAATCATCTAATTAATTAAATAGTAATAAATAGTGATGTTACAAACTAATAGTTCAATTTTACATCTGAAAAAAATAATGAAAATCAAACTAATCAAGTTATAATTTGAACTCTAATACTCTAGATAAAATAATAACTTTTTGTATCATTATTATTATTTGTTATTGTCCTTAATGCAATAGGATTTTTYAACATGTGGTAAGTTTATTTTGAAATTGTTCTGAAGCTTAGAATTTATTTAAGTTTGGTTTGTGTTTGATAAAAATGTCGAATAATTTAGTAATTTGGTGTTTGTTACATTGTAAGTTCAGATAATTACAAAAATTAGGGTCTGTAACATCACCAATATTTAAAGTAAAACCACATTTTTTATGAGTTATAATTTTTTTCAGCTAAAGATTCTTATGAAGTTATACATTGTGTCAAGTTAGTTTTCAGTTGTCCAGTCATAGATAGCATTGATGTAAAAGAAATGATTGAACATTGTCAGCGATTTCAACTTCATGAATATGTACAAAAGTTGAAGCGCTTGAGTTAAAATTTTTTAATTTAGATATGTAAATAAATAAGTTTTAGTTTAATTTTTATACCAATCTAAAACTATTTAATAATTTTTTTTTTTTAACAAAACTATTTTATTAAAATATATACAATAATTTATAATATGTTCAATTATCATCTCATTTATTCTTCAAAAACTCTTTTTAATTCTGCTTCTCTTYGTTCTTGGAATAACCTCTTGAGATCAGCAATTTTTTGTTGAGGTTCTGGTCTTTCTGGTGGAAACATCTCCCTTTTGAATTTTATTACTTTATCTTCATAATTTTCTGGTAAGTTAAAGTAATGGAATAAGATAACTGGAAAAGCCATATAAATACCCATTCGTAACACCTCCAACTGCCACTTACCCATATCTAAATGAAAATTAAACAAGAATTATTTATGTATTTTTAAAAAAAGTTAAAAATACTCAAGTAGTATATATATATATTTTTTTCTATGAATCAAATGATATAATAGAATCTATTAAATAGATTAAGAATACTCCTAGGCAGGAAGTATTCAGAGTTGTAGTAAAAGGTTGATGCATTTATCTGTTTATTTAATTATACTTATATCAAACCTATAATCTATATTTGTTATTTATATTTATTAACTATCRATATTAATTTATATATTTAAAAAAAAATACAATTTAAATGTTAATAAGTATATATATTCATATTTAAAAATTATTGTACACACCTACTACATAATAATAAAAAGTTATGAGTCTTAATGAGTTTTGTTATTATATAATCTAACAACAATTTCTGAGGAAAAAAATTTTTTTTTGTTTTTTTGTTATTTAGAAGAATATATTTACAATCTATTTTTACAATAATCAGTAAGTATGATGACAAAATTTTATTTATATGACATTAAGGAGATTAGAAAAGGAAGGCCCTCAGTAGTGCCACCTGACAAGAAACATTAAGTTAATTATTTGGTGTAGTTTTAAATTGTTTTTTTTTTGTGTTTATGCTTTGAGCATGTCTCGAGGCCACAGCCTTTTTAGTCTTTTGGGAGCATGTGTTGCAGAGGATAATTTTTGGATTAAAGGGTTGTAATGAGTGTGGAGTCTGGAAAAGAATTTAGTATAATGGGATTTGGCCAAATTGTTAAGGGTAGGTAGATTTAAATCTTTGTGAAGATTTTTATTTGTTACGTACCAGGGGGTGGAGGTTATTAGGCATAGGCATATTGATTGAAAAGCTTGTAGAGTTGAAGGCTTTGAAGACCCCCATAGCTGAATGCCATAAAGCCAGATCGGGCGGATTATCACTTTATATATTGTCACCTTGTTTGTTAGAGATAGTTTAGATTTGAGGAAAAATTATGAATAATTTTCTTTACTTCAAGTAAATACTGTCATAGTATCTATACAATATTAAGTTTTCTGAATTCTCCATAATTTTACACTTCATAATCCCATAAAAACATCATAAACTTATTTAAATAATAATTCTTTGACATACCTATTATAATGTTTTTTTATTTTTTGTTCGTCTCTCGTTGTAGAAAGCAATTTGTATATTATTTATTAATTTCAGTATTAAATTATAATCTACAATTGCCACAAATATTAAAATTACAAAGCTATAATAGTGAGCAGTGATCCGAGTAATTCTTATATTATCTATGATAAAAACGAGATGATTGATAAAAGATATTATATTTTTATCTATACCCACTAGCCGTAGACCGTAAGTTGTAGTCGACTTGGTAAACTGGTAAATATTGAATAAATAGTCATAGGCACTAAAGTCTTAGTTATAACTATATAAATTGCAGATTTTAATTTTTTGATTTGGATCACTAGTCACTAACTCTATTCCACAAAATAGTTGTTTCGTTCGGAGTGTTCGGACCAATTTTCAAATCTTGTTAAATTCAACATATTTTACTATGAAGTAGAGGTATCATTTAGATAAGATAAGGTGAATGGTGATACTTCTAAAACCATTAAAATCACTTGTTCCCACTTCAAGTATACCATGGTTGAAGAAACTTTTTATTTTCGTGGTAAAATCCAAAAAAATATTTATACAATCTACAATATGCTACAATGCAACCAATACAGTTCTTAGCACACAGTATTAACATATTAAATAGTAATAGAACAATATAAAAAACTAAACATGATATGCATAGCATTACAATTAATGAGTAGATCGTTTATTTTCATGTTTTAATGAATTATTGAACTTTTAAATACTTGTTTTTATTTTTATTATTTTGTTGTCAATTTGTATGTGTTGGTAACACTATTATCAATTTGTATTTTGTAGTGACAATCAACATAACCTTAAATCTCAAAATGTTACCTACTCTTTTGCTCTTCGATATTTTATGTTGTATGTCGGAGGGTTCTTTTTTGTAGTTCGCTACTACATAGGTCTATAATTCTACGTTAAAACTTTGTATATTTATTGAACGTAAGTACATTTTAGTAACCCAATATCTGTTTAATTTAAGCTACCCATGATTTTTTGTCATTCGTTATTTTAACTTGGAAATTGTAAATAGTTTTACATTAGCCATGTGGCAATGTTACTCCTCTTCCATTCATAAATATTTTATTCAATAAATAATAATGAATTCTTTTTTTTAGAATAAAATGGCCCCAAGAAAAGGAAAAGTACAGAAAGAGGAACCAGTTATCCAACTGGGGCCACAAATTCAAGAAGGTGAATTGGTTTATGGTGTTGCTCACATTTTTGCTAGCTTCAATGATACATTTGTACATGTAACAGATTTATCTGGAAGGTAAWTATTGTTCGGTTATAAATTTGTTAGCCTAATTATAGGATGTTAAATTATTTCCATATACAGTAGACCCTCATTAGTCTGCACTAATTAAAGCTAAATTGTGCAAATTAATGAAAATCTTGATCAAACAATATGTTTATGAAATACAATGGTTATGTAGTATACATGATATAATAYGTTACAGTCCTAAAATATAATAAATAACTAATAATTATAATATTTTTTTGTTTTGATGGCTTACAATTTTTTTGTATTACTTAACTGCTGTTCTAACTGTGAGGTTTTACTGTACCTAATAAATTAAAAACTGTCCAAACATAAACCATTTAGTAAATACTTTGTATATTTTTTTACTATAGGTAATGTATATTATACTTTATATAATAATCAATCACAAATTACATATTTTGTAAATTATTGATCTTTATTATGTATTATTATCTTAAAACCAGTTTAGTGATGCAATATTGTAAGATAGATTATGTTTAAAATTGTTTCTTCCATTAACATCCAAACCTTTTCATTTTATTTTTTAAATAAACTATACACTACATTTAAATCCATCTCTTATCCACCTATGTTTAAATTAAATTTATATTGTGCACACTACTTGTTTATTACTAAGACAGATTGGATACATTTTTTGTAAAATAACTTTTTGATGTAATATATTTATAATTATTTTTTTCAGAGAAACTATTGCTAGAGTTACTGGTGGCATGAAAGTAAAAGCTGACAGAGATGAAGCTTCTCCTTATGCTGCTATGTTGGCTGCCCAAGTATGTTGTAATTGTTTATAATACTCATTGATCTACATAGGTTAAGTCACAACCAACAAAAGTCTTAGTTCTAATTCCGCATACAATTAAAAAAGATTCTATGAAAGACTTTTTGTATTGAATGCCTGACACCTAGACACCTGGCCATGGTATGATTAGTAGGATAAGGAACACTTTACCATACATGTATTGTGCTTTTATTTGAATGTTATAGGTTTTACKTTGTAWACTTAGTGATTTCTAATTAGATCAATGCATTATCATACTATGTCCATGCTAGATTGATATACATAAGTATATTCTTTGGAAAATAAAATAAATACTTGCTCATGGTAT